CTTGGTCGTCGTGGCGATGGTGACATGCCGAGGCGCGCCGTTGCGGTCGTCCGGGTGCGCGGCCGCGGCGGCGGCGGCGGCGGCGTGGCGTCGCAGCACCGTGCTGGCGAAGCGCCGCACGACGTCCTTGGACTGGCGGGCCGGGTACGTTTCCGCTTTGTGCTCGCCGTCCTCGACGAGGGTCGTCAGCGAGGGGAATTGCCACATGCTCGCCAGCAGCCCTGCCGCGCCGAGGACGACACGAAGCCAACCGGGAATCAGCATCAGCATCTGCGTCTCCCTTCTGACCCTGTGCCGTCTTTCCTCTCCAGCCTGAACGTTCGTGGTGCGGGCAGGACTCACCGGTATCCGGTCGCTGCTCAATCAAATACTCCCACGAGGTCCCAGCCGTGGCGGTGGCGGACGCCTTCCTCGCCTTGCGCACCGTCGTCGATGTCGATGTCGATGTCGATGCCAATGCCGACGTCGCGCCCGCCGGCCGCCTGACGACGCAGACGAGGCACTCTTCGCGCCTCACTTGCTTCTTGACCGCCTTCATCGGGAACAGCTTGACGTGTCCCTCGATCCGCTCCAGCTGGCTGGCAGTCAGCGGCGCCTTTGTCGAGCCGGCGTGCTTGACTCCGTTACCCTCCGTCTTCCTGGCCCCTCCGAAGTTGAGCATGGACTGCCGCAGCCCTCGTCGCTGTGCGGCGGCCGTCGTCCCTGTCGCGGTTTTCTTGCCGGTCGCACCCGCCTCGTTAGCCGGCATCGCTTCCCCGCTCTCTCCGTCCACTTCATCGCTAGGTATCGGCTCGCACAGCGTGCACACATCCTCGATATCGGCGATTTCGGATGGGACCGAGAATCCCACGCGCATCTCTGACTCCTTTAGCGCGATGTCCTGGCCCTGGAGGTCGCAAGATGCAGCCGTGGTTCGGGCGGTGAGCAACGCTTCCCCGCCTCGCCCAGCTCCATCGGTGTGGGTTCCCGACTTACCTCTGCGTAAGCCAAGCACGTCGCTCGGATTGGGCAGGCTTGGCAGTTGGGTTTCGGCGTGCACATGGTGCTGATCAGATGGATGAGAACACGATGTCAGTGGCGCTGCGACTCGGCCTTGACCGCACTGTCGCTCCTCCTGCTCACCTTCCGAGCTCCATAAGGGCCTGGTTCCATTGCCCGGGTATCCGACTCCGCGCCGGGATGCCGTCGGGCACCTTCTTCCCGCCGCCGCCTTCGGAGCCAGCAGCAACGGCGTGCTTGACAAGCAGGTCGGCCGCCAGCCAGAGCAGATCCGTTGTCTCCTTTGCCTTTGGGTTGGCGTAGAGGGCCATCTGCCTCGAAAGCACCCTCGCCACGTTGCCGTCGAGGATGGGCACGGCGTGGCCAAAGACGATGGACGAAATCGCGCCCGCAGTGTACCTGCCCACACCGGGGACCTGCTTCTCGAGCTCCTCGGGCAGCTGCGGCAGCATGCCCTGCAGGTGCGCGTCGTCGACCACCTTCTTGGCCGCCGTATGGATCCGCGTGGCGCGGCTGTAGTATCCCAGGCCGCGCCATGCCGACAGCACCTCGTCTGCCTGGGCCGCGGCGAGCGCCTCAATCGTCGGCCACTTTGCCATCCAGCTGGTCCAGTACGACTTGACGGTCTCGACGCGCGTCTGCTGGAGCACTGCAGCAACGAGGAGCGCCGAGAGGGGAGACGGCAAGAGCGGTCCTTCAGCTCAGCCAGAAGCCGGAACGGAGGAGGGGATAGAGGGGCATTGCAGCACTCACTGATCTCTGAGATCCAGACCTGATAGGCCCGCACGCGGAGCAGCTGCTCGACCGAGCCCGAGGATCCCGCGGTCGGGTCGATCCACTCCTGCCTCCACGGCATCTGCCGATCCTTGCTGACACCCTCGAACCACTCTAGTAGGCTTGTGGTGGCGGTGTTGTCGTCGAGCATCTGTGGGCGGTGATAGCTCGCGCCATGGCGTCTGCCCGGCTGTGCTGGCAGTCTGGGCCAGCCCGGCTCAGCGGCAGCGATGGCAGCGTCGAGGCGGACCTTTGTTCCCGCCGCCGCCGACCTGCGTGCCGCTTTGGCAGGCCTTGCCGAGTCGAGGCTGCCATCATCGCCGTCGTACTCGCTGTCGCTGGCTGCGCTGGGCTTCTTGCGCCTCGATACTGGCATCGTCGGCCGAGCGACCAGACGGGCGAGAGACCTGTGAATGTCGGGCGAGGCTGTGCGTCCGATGCGTGCGTAGAGCGAGGGCCGATGCAGTCCGTCCGACGAGGTCGCGGAACGGTGACAAGATCGAGAGAGGCTCGAAGGGGCTAGAGCTGGAAGGGCTGATGGTGGTGGCGAGCGGGACCCATGAGCCAAGAGGCCTCGCCTGCCGCTCGGCAGAATAAAGCTTACTCGAGACCGACAGCGACACGCGGCAGACCAACACCACCGCACCCGCGCGCGTCCCGTCGCGTAGAGCGCCTGGCGACTCCCTGACCTGACCGGCCGGGTTAGCCCTTCGTATTCTCATAAACAACGGCAGCATCCGCAGCATCCAATGACCACATTCCTCTAACACTGCTATGGGTGCACGCATCTGGCAGAATACATTCGAGTGACAAGTGCTGGACGACGCTTAGAAACCGCTGCTCGCCCTGACCATCCCTCGCCGTTTCAGGCCGGTGCCGACCCCTCCGACCGCCGTGATGAGCGTCCGCCGTTTCGCCTTCTTTGCGCCCGTTCCGGCAGATGACTGGTGGGAAGGCCGAGCCGCCGCCGCCGCCGCTTCCCCTTGTGCTGCTGATGCAGACGCGGATGAGGCGCCCGCGCCACGGTCATGCTCTTCGTGGGAGGCGTCCAACGATCGGCTCTCAGACCGGCCGCGCCATGGTGCAGATGACTTCCTTACGGCCCTCTGCGGCGTGTTGCGGCCCGTCTTGGCCTTCTTGGACCGTCGTGACGGTCTAGGATCGCTGTCACTGTCGCTGTCGCTGCTACCGTCAGCGTCGTCACTCGAAGAGCTGGGATCGTCGGACGAGGAGCTGCTGACGCTGGACCGCCTGTCCGAGGCCGAAGAGCCAGCATCGCTGCCAGAAGCCGAGTGCAAAACGGCGCTCCTGGAGCCCCCAGGGTTCAGCACTTCCTTGACTCTCCGACGGTCGATGGGCCTGCGGGCAAGCAGAAGAGGGCCAGCCGAGGAGCCAATGACACGCCCGTCTTGCCTCGTAAACGTCGGACGGCCAGTAGGCTCGTCGGATCGCCCTGGAAGGGGCCTGACCTCGCGGTCCTGATCGCCAGGCGGAGGCCTCAGCTTGGCGGTGGCCTCGTAGTCGACGAGCAAGTCAGTCGGGTCGAGGAGGCTCGCGTCCATGAGATACCTGGTCGGCAGGTTCTCGCGGCTCTCGGCTTCCCGACGCGGCGGCTCGTCCGCCTCGCCGCGCCGAGGACGCAGCGAGTCTTCAGCCCTTGCCAGGGCATTGTCCAGCATCGCCCGTCTCGACGCCGAGTCGCCGGCCTTGACGTAATGCTGTGAGGCGGTGGGTCGTCCCTTGAGCAGGTGGAGGGACGCTGTGCCGTAGATCTGCTCTAGCCGCTCCGCCGTCGCTCGAAGGGCCGTGTCGAACGCCATCTCCCTGTCAGCCCCCGTCGAGATCGACTCGCTTCTTTGGGAGAGGAAGCCCACGACACTGCGCCAGTCGAATGGCCTCTTGCCGGTCTTTGCCTTGATCTTCGGTACCTTGTCCTTCGGGGCGTCTGCCGACTCTGGTGCATTGCCCCGTGGTGAGCGCTTCTTGCGCCTGGAGCCAGCATTGGACCATGACGTCTCCTGCAGCATCAGATGCTCGTAGGTTCGTCGCAGCTGCTGTTGTACGGCCAGCAGCACTGGATCGACGAGCTCCGACACGGCTTCGGCGTCCGAATCGCTACCTAGACCTTCGTCGTGCCTCCCTGTCGCCGGGCTCGGTTCGTCAGCGTTGATGTTTTCCGCACCCTTGGCATCGTCGGTAGCTTGTCTGTTCCGCCTCCGGCGTTTGCGCGACGATGGGCGTGTGCGGGCGCCGTGGTCGGCGAGGATCTGCTTCCGGACCGAGGCGAGGGCAGCGTGCCGACGTGATATGATCGCCTCTACCTCCTGTCCGAGAGTCCAGCGGGGAAGAGGGACCTGATCTGCTTCGAGCGGCCAGGCGAGCCGACCGCCGTCGTGCCGGGCCTGCTTGTGGTCGAAGGAGAGGAGACGCGAGGTGGCTGCCTGGGGAGCTTGGCTCTCCTCGACTCGCTGACGAAGCTGGGCGTGGTGGAGGAAGGCGACGCTGGCGAGCCGCCCCTCGTCTGCGACCGACTGGAGCTCGCTTGAGGCCAGCCGCGACCACTCTGCACGTTCGGAGAATGGGTAGCGGAGGTCGGTGCTGTGCCTATGCTCAAACGAGTCGGCAATAGAGCGAAGCTCTGCCACGCCATCGGCGACGGCGGGGATGCGAAAGAGGCGGCGAGCTTGTCCGCTGCCGCTCTGGCTCTGAGGTGCCTGTGGCCGGGGTCCGGGTCGGTCTGAACGGCTGCGCCTGCTGAAGTCGCTCGCATTCGAGAGCCAGCCGTCGTCGTCGTCGTCGAAGCCCTCGTTGGCCGACGTGGCAGCGTCCGTCTCGCTCCAATAGGGGTCGGAGCGGTTCATGGTGGGTTCATGGCGGTGGCGTTGTGTGCCACTGGTGTCCGAGGCGCGGTGGAGGTCGACCCGAGGAGAAGGAGTGGTAGAAGGAGACCGAGGAGTCGAGGAGAGTCAAAGAAGGACCAGGACAAAACGGCGGCTCAAAATGGCCTCGAAATTGGGATGTGGAGCCTGGCGGGGCGTGCCTCGTCTTTCCCTTTCGGCCGGTTGAATGACAGGCGACACACGAGCCACCCACCTGTTGGCCTGGCCACGCTGGCCTTTCAGGCGGGGAGCGACCCGTCTGCTGGCATATGGCCACCCGGCAGGTGCACGGCTTCTTCCAGCCCCACCCTCAACGATCGCCTCCCTTCCTCCCCATCCCCTTTCCATCGCCACGGGGCATCGCCGTAACTCAAAGACAATCCCATCGATCGCGGCCGGCACCATGATCAGCGACGTCACCCTGTCTGCTCTCGCCAACTGGCTCGGAAGCCTCACCATGGTCCTCATTGTCCTCTACCACGTAGGTGACGCCCGCTCCTCTTGCCGCGCACGCTCGCTTTTCACGTCCAAGCAGCGCCTGCGATGCCCGCCTGTCCGCAGCGGCTGTCTCTGACCCCGCGCATCGCCTCGCTGTCCTTTCCTGCTCTGCATTCTCGCCAGGCACTGAGCGTCAACGCAAAGAGGAACCAGGAGAACGCCGCCAGGCTGGCCAACAACGCACAGGCTTCCAGATGAGCCGTGCTACGGTCTGAAGTCCCCCTCGCGACGCCCCCTTCACGCTTTCATCGAGGGATGCGCTCGTATAGGAGCGACCACGAGACCGATGCCGCCTTTCCTCGTCCCACCCGCATCGCCGGACAATTGCTTCTCGCCCTGCTGTCATGGTCCGGACGCACGATGTCCTCCGCAAGGCCCACGGCCATCTCGCCCTACGAAGCCCCTACTGTACTTGTACCTGACCATCGATCGATATGACGGGCGGAACACAGACAAGCCGACCCCTCCTCCGCGGTGCTCAGATTGGCAGCGCACCGCCTCGACTGTCTTACACCCGCTTCCGAGCAGATCCCCGGCCGTGTCGCAGCGGCGGAGCACGGGCACGCTCTCTGACCTTGGAGCAGCAGCGAGCCTGGGGAGGACCCAGTTCAGAGCAGCATGCACAACAGAGTCAGAGACCCGAGCACGGAGCTGCGCAGGGTCTACCAGCGGGCGGTGCTGCTTGTACGCGCTACGCCTCGGGCCAGTGGCAAGCAGCATGGCCGGCCGGGTCAGTCGGCTCGGAGCAGCGCTTCACGGCGGTCGCGGACGGTCACATGTCGGTCTGTTCGCGATTGCAGAGGGCAGATTCTACTCGAGAGCTGCCGAGACTAGTCATCGTCCTCCTCCTCTTCGTCGTCGCCCGACTTGCTGAAAGCGCCCTCGACAGGTGCCTGCGTGAAGAGTCAGAGGAATTGGGATCGAAGCCAAAGACGAGAGCGTTCAGCACCCAAGCTTCCTCCTGGCTGTGTGCGCGAGGGACCGTGGCACTCACCGCGACCTGCGAGCCTCCGAGCTCCGCCGCCAGACCATCACGAGGGTAGGTCTGCAAGAGACGGGTAGACGCAGACACAAAGGCACAAGGTGGTCAGTGTCGCGTCAAGACCGAACAGAGCACAGCGACAAGACCCGACACCCACCCTTGGCAGCGCAGGCTTCTCGGGCGTGGCGGCGTAGACTGTCGAGCCGAAAAGGACAACGACACCGACGGCCACGAGGAACTGCCGGAGCGCCGAGCTGGCGGGCGTCGCGTGAATGTCGGGGGCCCAGACGGAGAGGGCGTCGTCTTGCTCGTGCGGCTGCAAAACAACACAGCAGCACGGTGGGAAGCGAGTAGGGTCGTGGTCAGATCAAGGTCAAAAAGAGAGCGATACCGAGGGCTGACGCTGCTGCTCGTGGACCACCCACAGTCTCGCCAAAGTTCCTCTTCTCTTGCGGGTCCCACCACTTGGGCGAGTATTTGCGGGTCTGAAGGCTGATGTAGGGCAGGTCCGGGTAGTCGCCGAGCTGCGGGTCCTTTTCGGACTGGGGCTGGATGAGGCGGGACGACGAGGTGGAGAAGGTGCGCAGCGGTGCGACGGCGGCCGCTGTCCTGGCGGAGCGCGATGCGCCGGCGGCGGCGGTGCGGAGGAGCGACATGGTGGCGAGTGGTGAAGCTTGGTCGGCCACGAGAAAGTGCGCGAGGAAGGCCGGTTAGTCGTGCCGGAAAGAGGTCGAGGCAGCTGCGATACGAAGCCCAGGGGGAGGTCGAGCGAGCGCGGGTGGGAGTCCGGGGAACGGGTAGCCAGGCAGCAGGCAGCGTGCGGGCGAGATGGCCCAGCCAGGCGGCGGCGGTGATCGACCCGCACCCACCGAGGCCCACGCCAACCTTTCTCGGCACCGCGCCGAGGTGCAACCCCTGCCAGCCTGCGCGATCGTCTTGGCCAGGCGGGCAGGTCCTAGCTCAAGCAGGGGCCAGCCAGCCAGCAGGCCCCGCAGGCGGCGTGCCCGAATCGCGGAAAAGAAAAAACCCCAGCCAGGGCCAGCCAGCCAAGGCAGGCAAGCTGTGGCCCAGGCGAGGCGGCCGCGGCCTCTGCATCACGCACATCCAACCGCTGGACGCGGGCACGCAAATCCAGAGTCCATACCAGCCAAGCCAGGCCAAAGCCAGCCCAGCCCAGCCCAGCCCAGGCCAGCCCAGGCCAGCCCGAGCCAGAGACACACACGCGAGTACGGTACGCCTGCGCTATCGCCGTCGCAACCCCTGCTGGGCTCACCGCCACCGCCGCCGTCGTCGTCACCACCACCACTACCACCACCTTCGCCAACGCCGCCACTTTCCCCCTTACCTCTCGCACCACCGCCTATCAGCACCCGTGCAGTCCTCGATACCGCGTCCACGCACTGCATCCGGCCCGCACCACCCTGCATTCCTTGCCCAGTCGCGCCTCTGCAACCACCGCCCCCGCATCCAAACATCGCACTTGAGAAAAAGAAAACACAGCCGTCACGACGGCCTACAGCACCTCAGCATTGATCCGGCTCTGAGCGACCGCACCAAAAGAGCAGCTACGACGCCACCACACCCCATCCCTGCGCCAAGCCGCACCGCCATAGCACGGCTGATCCGCATCGAGCATCGATACCGCCAAGGTCCCCGCAGCTGCAGCGCCCCGCCCGCCTATACCCACGTCGGGCGTCTCCGTCCGTCCTAGTGTCCTGCACCGAACGGCATCGCCGCATACACCCCCTTTTCTCGCCCGTAAGCTAGCCAGCCCAGCATGGTCGACATCGCGGAACAGGATCAGTGGATCAACCACCTGGGCGAGTGCAAGCAGCTCAGCGAGAACGACATCAAGCGGCTCTGCGACAAGGCGCGCGAGATCCTGCTCGAGGAGTCCAATGTCCAGCCCGTCCGATGCCCCGTCACTGTGTGCGGTGACATCCACGGCCAGTTCGTGCGTATTCACCAGCCGCATCACCGCGCTCCACGCGATGCTCGCCGAGCTCTCTCATGATCGCTCCCGTCTTTCACCGAGGCAGGCACGCTGACTATCATCGCATGCGCCTCCTCTCCGTCCGATTACCTGGCCCCGTGTCGTCTACCGCTCCGCTCCGCTCCGCCTTCGCCCTCGCCCTCGCCCGTCGCTACGGCAGCACGACCTCTCGGAGCTCTTCCGGATCGGCGGCAACTCGCCAGACACCAATTACCTGTTCATGGGAGACTACGTCGACCGCGGCTACTACTCGGTCGAGACGGTGACGCTGCTGGTCGCGCTCAAGGTGCGGTACCGCGACCGCGTCACCATCCTGCGCGGCAACCACGAGTCGCGACAGATCACCCAGGTTTACGGCTTCTACGACGAGTGCCTCCGCAAGTACGGCAACGCCAACGTGTGGAAGTACTTTACCGACCTGTTCGACTACCTGCCGCTGACGGCGCTCATCGACGACCAGGTGAGCATCTCGCTGACGCCTGTGGCTCGTTGGTCGTTCCTCGGCGCACGGACGGGATGGAGCTGCGGATTGTTGACGCCCGCCGCCCTGCCCTGCTGTCGTTCTCTCTCTCGCCCGGCATTTCGCAGATCTTCTGCCTGCACGGCGGTCTGTCGCCCTCGATCGACACGCTGGACCACATCCGATCCATCGACCGCATCCAGGAGGTGCCGCACGAGGGACCGATGTGCGACCTGCTGTGGTCGGATCCCGATGACCGCTGCGGATGGGGCATCTCGCCCCGTGGCGCCGGCTACACGTTTGGTCAGGACATTAGCGAGGCTTTCAACCACAACAACGGGCTGACGCTCGTCGCGCGGGCGCACCAGCTGGTCATGGACGGCTTCAACTGGTCGCAGGAGCGCAACGTGGTGACGATCTTTTCCGCACCCAACTACTGCTACCGCTGCGGCAACCAGGCGGCGATTATGGAGATTGACGAGAACCTCAAATACACGTTCCTCCAGTTTGACCCGGCGCCACGGGCGGGCGAGCCGCTCGTGTCGCGACGGGTGCCAGACTACTTTTTGTAAAACTAAGGGCCCCCTCTCGTCGTTACCCGTGCTCTCTCAACCCGTCGTTGTTTCTGCATCGTCCGTCCCTCGTCACTTCCTCGGTCGCTCCCTTATCCCTCCCTCTCTCTCTCTCTATCTCGTGGTCCCATGACACGGTGCGTGGCGGCCTCTGCCTGTGCTGTCGGGGTGCGTGCTCGGTCGAGGACGAGCAAGCAGGGCGGCGCTGCGGCGTCGTTGCTGCTCTCGGTGTGCGTGCTGGCGTCCTTGGGCCGTCGTTTGGATGACTGTCGGAGACGTCGAAGGAGTCTGGCCTCTGGGATCGAGGTTGTGGAATGCAGGCCGGCGACGACGGCGACGCGGCATTGGGGGCCTGGGCCACGAGGCGGGTGTGTGGCCTGGCCTGGCAGGGCCTGGCAGGGCCAGCTCCTCGCTCCTCCACACGCCCTGCCACGGACTTTTCTTCGCGCCGCCCACACCACCCACCGCCTTCCGGCGAAGCCGACCCTACCTTCTCAACCTTCCCTTCCCTCACCTCACCTCACCTCACCTCACCTCACCTCGCCAGGCCACCCATCCTCGCGCACCCGCCCGCGCCGCGAATCGTCATCTGACCGGGCACCTGCACACGATGGGGTCGGGCAGATGCCATCGCTGCATGGTCACGGCACACGACCTTGTCAGATCCCGCGGAGCCCTGGCACGGATACCGGGCCCGACCCGCTTCCTCCCGCAGCCACACTGCGCCGCGGCGCCGCTATCCAGTCTCGCTCGGAAACCGAACCAGGCGCCCGGGACTGGACAAGATGGCCCATCCGAGGAAGCGAAACGGGGACAGGGGGAAGAGCAGGCCGAGCTCGAGCTCACGCAGCGGCTGCGCGAGGCAATCGGCCCCTTGGAGGACCGCTGGGACGGTAGCCCGTTTCGTGAGTCGCCAGGCATGCCGAGCTCGCCGCGGCAATGACGATATCGCACAGAGTTGTTGCTCACATCGGCATCGTCCCCGACTCTCGGCTCTGGAGACAGTCCAGATCCTCTCGACCCCGCTTCGCCGATGTGCCCTTACTGGCCACGTCTTGCCAAAAGGTGCGATCCGGCCAACCCCCCGCCCCACCCACACTCTTCATGCCACGTCGTCCTTCGTCGTTGCCGTTGCCGAAGCTGACCTCGTCACATCGCCGTGCATTGGTACCTGGACCAGATCTGATGATGCAGCTCAAGCCTGTGCGCCTGCCCAAGACGGCTTCCGCACACGATGGCGGCGGCGGCGGGAGCAGCGCCGGCGAGGGAACAAAGAAGAAGCAGGACCGGTCAAACCAGGTCATCCTACCCGACCAGCTGCTCCACCCACGCTTCAGCCAGCGCAAGCTCGGAAAGGGGATGTGGGTCACGCTGCACAAGACCATCCTGGAAGCCGTAGAGAGCCAAGGTGCGTCGTCCGCCAGCGCCTAGGACGCAGCATGGCCCCGGCTTCCAACCCGATGCACCACGGCCTGTGATCGTCGGTTGACCCGTCCTCCTTCCTCTCCTCCTCTTCTTGACGTCGACATTGTGGCGCGCGCGTGCAGGAGCGTACAAGCCAATGGCGCCGCAGGCGAGGTTCCCGCCCAACCTGTCCGACTTCATCACGGCGCAGCTGCAACAGCGGGTGGTGCAAGAGGCCGCGCTGATGAAGAGCCGGATCTGCACGCGCCGCCGCCAGGACGTCGTCGAGACGTTCTCGCAGCTCCAGAGGGACCACCGTCGCACTGGCCACCAGCGCGGCATGACGGTCATCAAGACGACATCGAGGGATGAAGCTCGACGGCTCCTCGCTTCGTCCATTGAGAATGACGACGACGACGACGAGGGGGTGGGAGGTGGACGACCGGTCTACAGTCTCGGTCTCACCTTACATCCACCACCACCTGCTGATGCGGCTGTGGAGGAAGAAGGCGGGACGAGGTTGCACGAGTCGGTCCATCTCGATTCGTCCGCCGTCCATCACGACGGGGACGGATCGCAGCGGGGGAGGGGCGCGAGCGTACCGCTCTACAACCTCTCATCCTTCCCGCCCGACCTCGTGTCGCAGCTGCAACGGCGTCTCGATGCCGTCTCCTCGTTCGAGGCTTCTTGCCTCGACGACACCGTCGCACCCGCGCCGACGCGCCCGGATGCGGGGGCAGATGCCCATCCCAGGACCAGCGACGACAACGATGACGACGTCGGCGGATACGTGCTGCGGCAATGTGCGGAGACCGTCGATGTCGCTGTTGCACTGTGGAGACTCAGAATATGGATCGAGTCCTAACCGCCTCGCCCACCGACGCGGTCGACAGCCGCAACGCCTCGCGCCGCTCCGCTGCAAGCGACGACACCGCATCTTTACGCCGACCGCCTACGCACGCAGGCAGGCCGACAGGCGGCGCACAGAGACAGACGGGGGACGACGTCTCGCAATCTTCCCAGGATCAGTGTTTTGGATGTTGTACAGCGAGTCGAGCGGCCCATCGCCCCCGAAAGCAGGCAGGTCTGCAGCTTGCTTGCTTGGCCAAGCAAGGTGATGGCTGGCTCATTCGATGGCGTGTTGCTCGATCTGCACGGGGCGACGCAGAGCGAGTCGTAAAAAGGGTGCGGTCGGTCGTCGAAAAAGGGGATCAGCAGTCTGCATCTGAGCCGGGCGGACGTCGGCACGCCAGGAGAGGGGCGATGTGAGCACACTCACGACGTCGTCGATCTTGAGGACGGCGCGGACCAGCTGCGTCGCGAGGAGCAGCTGCTGGCGCTTGGAGACGAGCGGGTCAAAGACGCGGCAGTTCTTCATGTCGTTGTCCTGCAACAAGGGGCGACATCGCGACACACGCACGCACGCACGCACGCAAAGGCACAGCGCCCAGGCCAGGACAAAGGGCATCGTCGTCAGCTTGGGATCCTCCGCAACTGGCCGCCCTCCCTGAAGCTCGCCGCCGCAGGTCGCACTCACGCCAGCACCCATGCAGTCGATTCCGAGCTTGGGGTTCGACTCGGTCACCTGTCGGCTCTTGACCTCGGCCAGCATCTCGATGGGCGAGTAGCCGCTGTTTTCCGCCAATGCCAGCGGCACGGCGTCGAGGGCCGATGCAAACGCCCGCATGGCGTACTGCTCGAGCGTTGCGATCTGTCGTCCAAAGAGGATTGCCGGGAACACGGCGTCAGCTGGGTCGTCGGAAGAGATACGTTGCCAGACATCGAGCGGACCCCATCGCATCCAAGCTCGTCGACTGGCGCCACTCACCTCATCGGCCGCCTTGCTGATAGCCACCGACGCGCAGATCTCGGCCGCACCACCGCCGTAGACGACGCGGTTGTCGACGACGAGGTTCCTGACGACGCAGATGGCGTCGTGGAGCGCCCGCTTGGCCTCGTCGATGATCATCTTGTTGGAGCCGCGCACAAAGACGGTGACGGCCCGCGTGTTGGCGCACTCCTCGATGATGAGCATCTTGTCCTTTGTGGTGCCGAAGCCCACCTCGCGCACGACGCCGGCGCGGCCGAGCTTCTCTGGGCTGAGGTCCTCGAAGCGCGGGACGATCCTGCCGTTGGTGGCGATGGCGATGAGCTCGAGCTCGGGCCCGCCGACCCAGCGGACGGCGGGGAGGTCGTGCTGGAGGAGCAGGTGGTTGGCCTCGTCGTCGAAGCCCCACTGGCAGATGACGAGGTTGGCGCCGCAGTCCTTGACCCGCTTGATCATGTCCTCGAACTTGGCCCTCTCGTACTCCTGCAGCTTCTTGTACTCCTCGACCGAGGTGATGTCGAGCTTGTGCTTGGTCTTTGGGCGCGGCGGCTCAAAGGGGCACGTGAGGATGGCAATCTTGGCGTCGCGCACCTCGCGGGGCATCTGCGGGTGGGAAAAGTCCTTGTCGATGACGACGCCCTTGACGAGGGTGGTGTCCTCGAGGCCGCCGCCCACCTTGCCGTCGACCTTGATCAGCTCAAAGTCGACGTCCTTGCGCTTCAGGTCGGCGACCGAGAGGACCGAGTCGACGGCGATGCGGGCAAACTTGTCCGACGCCTTGGACACAATCTTGCTGCCGAGGCACGTCTTTGCCGTCTTCATTAGCTCGTCGACGTTGTCGAGGCTGAAGTCGACGACGTCTGCGACGCTCTCGAGCTGCTGGACGGCGAGGGCGCAGGCGCGCTCAAAGCCGTCGGCGATGCGGATGGGGTGGATGCCGCGGTCGATGAGGGCCTCGGACTGCTCGAGGAGTGCGCCGGCGAGGACGACGACGCCGGTGGTGCCGTCGCCGATCTCGTCGTCCTGGCTCTTGCTGAGCTCGACGAGGAGCTTGGCGATCTGGTGGTCGAGCTGCATGTTGTTCATGATGGTGGCGCCGTCGTTGGTGACCTGGATGTCGCCGTCGGGGCTGATGAGGATCTTGTCGAGGCCGCGCGGGCCGAGCGACGTCTTGAGGATGTTGGCCACCGTCTTTGCGGCGCTGATGTGGTTCTTGATGGCCTGGATGCCCTGGGCGCGGGTCTTTTTGCCCTGCTCCCGGACGACGATGAACGGTCGGCCGTACTCATCCTGGGCGTATGCGATCTGAGGCTCGGCCATGGTAGCGAGAGGGTGCCGGGCTGCTGCTGCGGCGGCGGCGGCGGTGGTGGTGGCGGCGGCGGCGGCTGGTGCTGGTATGAGGCGACGTTGGTGGAAGGAGGCGAGACTCTGGCTGGTCGAATTGGATCGGTTCGACGCCGTTTCTCGGCTGAAGCTATGAGTGATGCGCTGCGGTGTTGAGCGATGATGCGGTGGTCGGCTCTGGAATTCGGCTCGGCCTTGTCGTCGTTGTCGTCGTTGTTGTCGTCACCGTCGTGGTAGCGTGTGGCGGTGCGGTGGAATGGTGGTACGAGCGTCGAGGAGCGAGAGTGGGTGAGCGCGCCTGCTGTGCGCCAGTCTGGTTCTTCGGGCCTTGTGTCACTTTTTCCCCCCCAGCTCGGCGCGCGCTCGCCCAGGCCAGGCCAGCCCAGGCCCGGCCCCTGCCGCGAGCTCTCTCTGGCCTGGCCTGGCCTGGCCTGGCCTGGCTGCGCGTGGAGCAGCCAGCCAGCCCGGCCAGCCAGCCAACCACACCGGCCTGTTCTTCTTCCTTCCAACCAGCGATCTGGCCCAGGCCTGGCCTGACCTGGCCGGCCTGGCGAGTTGATTTCCCTTTCTCGGAACCGAGCGCAAAGCCGCAGCCCGAATTCCGGTCGGTTGGTGGGCATGCGCAGGGATGTGGTTGAGAGCCGGCCGGCCAGCCAGTCGACCGCCCCTCTTCGCTCTCGGCGGGCAACAGACGTCGCCCAGGCGTGCCAAGGGAATGCCTGCCGCCGCTCTCCCTCGGTCAAACCATCAAGCACCGGAAAGAACTTGTATTACACGAGAGCAAACAGCGCCAGCGCTCCCATCTAGACGGCGTCGGGCGCGGCGGGCGGCCGTCCGGGCTCTGCGCAAGCTGCGTCGACGCCCGCCCTCTTCCTCAGACCTCGTTCCTCTTCCTCTCCCTGGGTCGTCCGCGCTGGGAGTATGTACAACGGCCGACCTTTGAGCTTGCCGCCGCTGAACGGCCATGACCAGACCGGTCCAAGGGCCAACTCGACCCGGGCGGGCGAGCGAGCGGTCGAGGGCCAGTTCAGTCGGCCGGCCGGGCTGCGACGCCCTCCGTCTATTGCGCCTTGACGGATCCGTTGGCGGCGTGGCCGTTGCCGACCGCCTTGCCGTTGGCCGCCGCGCGCTTCTTGGCCTGCGCCTGGTTGTACGTCTTCTTGTAGAACGCGATGAAGAGGAAGAGGTAGCTCGTGAGGCACGCCATGCCCGAAAACGCCGCGTGCTCCTTGCCCGCGCACGTGCCATAGTGGATCACGTTGGGGAAGTAGGTGTAGACGAAGTAGTTGTACGACGCAAAGTAGACGATAAAGAGGTCAATGACAAACTGCGTAATCTGCGCAGTCGTCACCCACTTCTTCCAGGGGCAGCGGATCTTGAGCGAGGTGAGGGCGTAGTAGAAGTCTGGGCGAGGGCCGGGGCGGGGGCGGGGATGCAAAGGGACAAGGTCGGCAGGTCAGCCTCGTCGTCGTCGTCGTCGCAGACACACCCTGACCCTGCCAGTCAGGACAGGCCGCTCGTCCAGGCTACTCACACATCAGGACGTGCACAGCGAGGTTGAGGCAGATGACGACCCACGAGACGCTCGTCTTGCCGTGCAGCTGGCTAAAGCAGAGGGCGGCCGTGGCCGAGTGGTGGTACACGTGAAGGAAAGCTGAAGAGGCAGGAGGCGTCGCGGAGAGATGCGAGATGCGACGCAGGCGTGCGACCCGTGTCAGCGCAACATGTAGCAGAAGAGAGCAGCACGGCACAGCATCGGACCCCGCCAATCCTCAGCTGCCCGCCTCTACGCACCAAGGGGCTTCTTCTTGAGGACGAGGAAGACGGTGTCGATCAGCTCCCAGCTGTGTGCAGAAGCAAAAGAGCGAGGTTCAGAGCATCGCAGCAGGTCAGCCAGCTAGCTCGGTGCGTCTTCGTCGTTGTGAGAGGCAGTCTGACGGCCGTTGCGATACGAACAACTTGAAGTAGTAGTTGATGATGTAGTAGGTCTCGAGTTTCTGCGAGAGGCGCAGAAGAGGGAGTTTGAAGCGGCACTGTCAGCGAGCTGCTCCCTTGCGCTTCTATCGCAGTGTGCCAGCCATCCGAACTGCCGCCTTTACGCTGCCCAGAAGTACGTAGGCTGCGCGGCTGACGCCAACGTCCTCTCCTGTCTCCCCCTTGGGGCTCACCATGGTCCAGGCGCCCTCTCCGCAAATGGCGTAGTAGAAGCCGTTCCTGCGCCAGATCGGGACGACCTCCTCGAGCATGAGGGCGAGGAGGAGCGCGCTTCCAAAGGTGAGGGCGAGGTTGTGGACGAGGAAGGGGATCTTGATGCTGGAGCTGAAGGCGGGCCTGTTCTTCATCAGCTCGCGGCCACCAAAGATGACGGCGAGGTAGGTGACGATGGCGGCAACCAGCGAGGGGAACGTCGACAGGGGCGTCTTGCCGGCCTCCCATGCGAGCAGGTAGGTGGGCACGTTGGCGGTGAGGCTGCGAGGCAGCGCCGCCACGACCGAGTCGTAGATGACCGACGAGACCATGTCGAGGACGGGGGAAGGGATTGACGGGGGAAAAGAGGAAAGTGACCGGACGCTGCAAAGGGGAAAAAAGGAGAGTGGGGGGGAGAGATGGTGGTGATGGTAGAGGTGGTGGTGAGAGGAAAAGAGGATCACGAACTCGATGGGACATCAACGACTCTCTTGCCATCGCCGCCATGCGTTGCTGCCCTCGCAGACGGCGGCGAGGGCGAGGGCGAGGGCGAGGGCGAAGGGCGTATCGCCGTCGCGACCACGCCGGCGCCTGGCAGGCCAGGCCAGGCCAGCGAAGGTCACCACCGAGCTGACCCGCCGACCAAGGAGCGGCCCTAGCCTTGATCCTGGCACGCACCCACGCACGCACGCACGCACGCCCAGTCGCCCCAGCCTGGCCTGGCTTGTCCGTCCGTTGCCGTCCGTCGCCTTCGCCCGACGCCGATCCGAAAGGCAGGCAGCCAGCGGAGTCTTGCACGCGCAGCCCGCTCGCCGGCGCGCCCGGCCGTTTGGCAAACGCCCGCATCTCGCCGCCTAGCTGCCCGTCGATCTGCGTGTGGCTCCTGCGGAAACCGAGGCTGGAAGGTTGGGCTGAGGCGTGCACCTGGGAGCACTCGATGCGATGGAGCGGTGTTGACGCAGCACCTCATGCCAGCCAGCGAGCCCCAGAGGCCGCAAGCAGAGCGTTGGTCTTCCGTTTGCAGGCAAAAAGCTGTTTGCCTGCCTGCTGTTCTTCTATCTCTGGTCGCGTCGGGACCCTTTCCTCGCTTCCAAGGGCCAGAGAGCCAGCCAGGGCCTACGCTCGCCCCTTTCCAAATGCCAGCCACGCGAATCGCTGCCTGGCCTCGTCTGCCAGCCCGCTGGAGCCCGCCAACAAGCAAGAAAAGTTTTCCGCCTCCTCCTTCCGACCCTAGCCTCGGACGGCCAGCGTCGCGTGTGTTGTGTTGCTCTCGAACAGGGCGGCCCTCGCTACGTCGACCGGAATGCTCGTCCCGTGCGTTCGGATTCTCCAACCGATTCTGGAATTCGAGACGCCAGCAGGCAGCTCCATCGACCCGCCCGTGCCGTCACGATCAGAAGCACGGCAAGGCGTGGCATGGCGCGGTACCTGCGCACACACGACGATATGCGCAAAAGGGCGACCTGTCCTGCCTGCGGATGGCGCCGGGCGTTTGTCGGAAACAGCAACGCAAAGCAAGCCAGCCCCGGCCTGCCTCCCCAAAAATCCCACCCGTCGCCGAAGCGAAGCGACAGCGCGTGGACGCTGGCATGGCACGGCCAGGCAAGGCACGCCAGATGAAGAGTTGAGATGGGCAAGCAAAGCCGCCCAGGAATCCGATCAGTCAAGCAATCAAGCAATCAAGCAAGCAATCAAGCAATCAAGCAAGCAAGCAATCAAGCAATCAAGCAATCAAGCAATCAAGCAATCAAGCAATCAAGC